ATCTCAGCTATCCCGATTTTGTCAAAGTTATTTAATTATATCTTGAATTCAATTTTATTTCTTATGCATTTTTGTCGATAATAGAAGCGAGAACATTAAAAAGCTATAAACTGCCCGTGAAACTCAAAGTACGCCAAAATTAAAAATATGACCAAAATATTCTTTGTACTTCTATATTTGTACCAAATTAGAATGAAATCGGAGTGCACTTTTTGCGTAGGTTTACTTGTAAGCCGTAACTACATATTTTTGTTGCGTCAAACAAAACTTTGATTAATCAAAAAATTTGCTCGAATTCCAAAGAAGTGTTTGGTTGATTCAACCAAATCTTCTTTCTGTGTGTGATTAATGTATGGATGTTTACTTTATTTATCGTTCGCGCACAACTCCCGAGTTGTCAAAGTTTAAATGGACAGCGCGAGCGCGCGTGCGCCGGCACACCCACGTGGTCGGGACGAGAAATGGCCGCGGACGCGGTCGCTCACTCGCTCGCTCCAAAAAACCAGCCGCGACAAGTTGCCTAATTTGGTGATCGGCGCGTGAAGATGTCGGATGGACTCACACAATCCCGGCATCTCCTCGAACGTCGCGATGCCCTTGCCCTCGAGATCCAGCTCAGGATTCTGGATCTCCCGCGCCTCGTCCAGCACCTTCTTCGCTTTTGACATCTTCCCCGCAGGAATACACGACACTGGCGCGGCCTGATTCATTGCGCGGCAGCACACACGTCGTCGGAGGGGTATATCCGCGAGACCGATCCGCGTTCCCGGCCCTGGAGGATGCGTCATCGGCTACTCCGGCGCACTCTATTTTATCGTCCCGACCAACGGAACCGACTCGGCTCACGTCAGATGGCGGTTGCTGTGCCTTTAAACGCGTGTCTGACCAGGCGACTTCCTTCAATAAACACAGTGCTGGTATTAATTGCCGCGTCAGCTAATAAATCTGAGTACTCGCATCAAGCGTTTTCGGCCAGCACGGCCGCTGACTACGACTCCAGATGACTCTTCCCACTCACGTTTCAATTCATCTGACGTTAGTC